GGGGTGTCTCTGACTCTTTTGCCTGTGCTTGGGACCCTTTTCCTCCTGAGTTGCCTTATCCAGCCTTGATATAAGGGCTTGTGCCTAGTCTTATTGTAACTTGGTATAATGTGTTCAGTTGATATCCCTGGGAGGCCTGCTCATTTGAGGGGAGGGAAATGGAGGAGTGGATCTGAGGGAAAGAGGAAAGATGGGGGCAGGAATATTGGGGAGAGTAGAGAGAGGGGAAACTTCAGCCAGGATGCAATATATGAGAGAAAAATACACACACACACACACACACACACACACACACACACACACACACTAAAATAAATGAAGATTCCATCAAGCTGTTTCACAAGAAAAGATATTTAGGGGCCACAGAGGAATACATCAAGACCATAGTCAAGAAGCTCTTGATTTTCTGCTACAAATGTGATTCACAATGAAATACAGAGCATGTTATTTCTCTTAGTTCCTCTCTGGTAAAAATAAACACTCAAGTTTGTTTTTTTCAGCCCTCATTTTAGTGCACGTCAGATACCATTTCATTGAGGCCTCCTTAGTCACTGGAAGCTTCCAACGTCTCTTGATTTAGTCCACGATTCTCAACAACTCTTACTTCATTTGTTGTAACTGCTGGTCCTTCCTTAACTGTCCTAAGTCCTGGAACTTCCTGAGGTCCATTCATTCTCACACCAGAGTTCCAAGCCCAAGTGGAAACTGGACATCCACCTGGATGTCCAACAGGGACTTAAAGCTCAACAAGTCCAAAACTGAACCTCCCCTGCTGACTCCCATACCCGCTCTTCTGGAGTCACTGCCCCACCAGAGTGCATGAAGCCATCTCCCCTTCAGTTGCCCAATCCACAAATCTGGAATTGCTTCTCCAGTCTGCCTTGCCTCAAGTCAGTGACCAAATCCTGTTGATTCTTGACTGCCATGCCTGTTCACACCAGTCCCCTTGTCTGTCACTAAAGCTTCCATAGTGGCATGGAGGTCTGTGAGGGGGATGCCATGCTTCTCACTGTCTTCAGTCAAACCCACTGAAGCAATGTATCCCGGAGGGCAGGAGAGCCTGCTGTGGCTCTTCAGAACCTGAATCATAGTCAGGTGTCATTTTATCCAGAACTGAGAGTCTTTCCCCATCTGCCTTCTCAGTCCCTGGGGTGCTTTCTTGTAGCTGATATTTCCTATGTCTATCAAGAATGGAATGTAGGCCATCATGATAAGCAAGACACACAGGAGAGTAAATGCCACAAGTTCTCGAAAAACACATGGGAGAAAAAAAATTATTTCAAAATAAAGGGAATAATGGTGCCCAGAGGTGGTGGGAGTTGGGTACAAGAAACAGAGAGGGTTCATGAATGGATGCTATTGGGTAGAACAAATAATGTCTAATGTTCTATCACATAGCAGTGTAACAACTTAACTGCATATTTCAAACCAAAAGAATTTTTTCTTAATATTCTCAAGACAAAGCAATGATAAACATTTGAGACAGACAAAATAACTACTCATTTGTGTGGTTTATATAAATGTACCACAAACTACCCTGAACCACACACAATAATGTGTTAGTTATACTTTGTTTGAAAGAGGGTCTTGCTTTATAACCCAGGCTGGACTTGAACTAAAGATTCTCCTGCCTTGGCCTCCAGAGGGATGGGACTATAGCTCTGTGACTGACTAAAAGAAAAAAAAGAATAGGAAAGCAAATGACCATCTGGAACAGAACTCTCTCCCAGTGAAATTATGCCAGGGGCCTGTGATACTCACACACTTGAATCGGGAGCTACTTTGATGGCATGATAAAGAGGCTGGAGAGATGGCTCAGTGGTAATGTGCTCAAAGTTCAGGGCCACGTAAGCATGCTCCATTCACCAAGGCCATTCATAGCAAGGACACAGAGAGAGCTGAACAGAGCAGAATGATCCGCCTCCAGCCGCCTAACCTCCTCTGTCCCTCTGTGCAGTCCACATCATCATCCCGCGTGTTTATACCCTGAGAGTTCGAGCCCCACTGGGCCAAGATTTGTCTTGCTCCACTACCACGGTGGTGGTAGCCGCAGAATGCTGCCTGTGTGTTTTTTCATCTGTCTTCCTGGTGCCAGAATGTACATAGTGGACAATCAGTGGCTGATTGGCTGCTCCAGACCAGACCCCCAGCCTTACAACTTCTATAATGTAGAATCTAGTAGTCCTGAGCCAATCTTCTCTGCCTAGCTTTGCTCAAACATCACTTCCTTTCTCAGACATGCTAACACGGGAGAACATAGGCTGCTCTGCAACAGAGACAGACACACGGCTAGGCAACTACCTTTAAAAACCCCTCCAGATCTGATCCATGCCTACCTATAGGCTGCCAGTGTTGTACGGTGATAAGAGGCAGGAATTGGGGCCAGGCAGGCCTAGAGTAAATCCCAAGGGAACAATTTATTCACCATCTTGGACTAACATCAAAAAAGATAGAAAAAGGCTAGTTCAGAGAAATGTCTACCTATTTTCCTTTTGCTGAAATGTCTGTTGGTTTAGCCCTATGTCAGTATAAAACTGCCCTTTGAAGAACTAGGCTAATGAGCAGCCGGTAAAAATACCAGTTAGAGCAGGAAGCATGCCTTAGCCGCACTCAGTTCCTTTGCTTCAGTGACTTCTTTACTGGCATACACACAGCTCAGCTCTACAGAACAGAAAATGGTGCTCACTGAAGATGTACCCAGCCCCAGATACGGGTTATTTCTCAGTGTCTGAAGATGGCTTCTGCAAGCACTTCATCAGAAGTATATATGCTGAGGGGTAGCTCCTCAACCTTTCCCCATTTATATGCCAGCATTTTCAAGGTCAGTAACCCAAAGTTAAAGCAATAAGAAATAATTAAAGGTGGAGGGAAATCCCTTTTAAATCTAAGGAGTCAGAGCACACAAAGACATGAAATGAAATAAAGACCCCACCAGAGTGGAGCTGTACCTCAGCTGTCAGGTACGGAATCTCCTTTACAAAAAGCAAGACAATGTCTCTTCTGAGATGATCAGATTCCTCAGAAACTGAACTGAAATTCAGGTATCAAGATGCACATTTGCTAATTCTTGTTCCTCTTGTCATTTTCCTCCCTCCCACACCTGCACGGAGCACAGGAACGCCCCAGTTTCATAGTTACCCTTACAGAGTGCCATCCTTAAAGATGACCGCCGTGGAGTCAAGCGCTACATTGGAGTGTCACGTCCCCGAATCACATAGCACTCAAGTTTTACCACTGACCATGTTTTCTTTTGCAGTACTCTGATTTACAGATTAAGAATGTTTTCATGTACATCAAACCTATTCGTGGTGCCTGGAAGTAACCAAGTTAACAGTAAGGGGCCATCCCGAATCGAGAAGCAGAAAACAGCCTGTCAGCCTCTTAAAACCACATGCTTTTTCTCTCCCTCTGTACTCTCCTCTGAGGGGCAGCCTCACCCTCAGAAGTCCTTGTGTTCTCATAAAAGCAACATGAAACATGCACGCACAAGGGTAAGCAAAAGCAACAGATCCAAGTGCTGTTCCGTGTGCCGCATGCTTCATCTTCTACATGAGAGAACACCTCGTCTATGCATTAGTGGCTTCAACAGTCACAGAGGAGACAGAACTCGGAATTCCCATCCAGCGTGGCACATATGTGAGCTGGTCCCTAACTATACTCATGTAACCTTACAGTCTAGCATTGCAGTTACCCCCGAGGACAGGAAGATGTAAGGTAAATCCGACAGCCAGGTCAAGTGTGGGCATCCACCTGTGTTCTCCAATCCTTTTCAGCGGCAACAAACACATCACCAGACTGGAAAATAAGTTCTTATACCCCCAATACTGTATCTTTATGTTTCATCAATAAAAATCCTTTAAGGAAAAGTATAAATGAAGACCAGTCCCTTAAGTTAAAAGATTCTGGAGAATTGGAATGGGTTTATAAGGCTGGCCTTTAAAACGAGTAAGAACGCTGGTTGGTATTTGAAGCAATGCAGACTGAATGCTAAGTGCCTGAATGGTCCCACGGATATCCTCATCAAGAACTGGGGACAGCAAGGAAGCACCACGGAGTCACAGAGTAGAGAGGCTATGGCAGTGCCTCAATCTTAAAATCTTCTCAAGCAAATCATGTTCTGAAGCACAATCGCCAGACTCAGGCTGAAAACAAAGTCTCGCCAACACATTCACACCGAACGCCAGCGTCTCTACTTCCGTCTGTGAAGCAGGGTAGTGCAAGTGGAACCACGGCAAAGTAAGTACCGCTTCCAGGTTGCTGCTGACAATCTGGAGGAGTCCACACAACTGATACTCAGAGCAGTTACAGTGTGCTAACTGGCTGATTCTCCAAGCCGGTCACACCTTCCCTCTTATGGAGAGTGGGCAGAACAGAGGTCAGGGAAGGCTGGCAGAACTTCCTAGAGCATCCCTTTGCCTCTTTCTTTTCACCCCTGAATGCGGATGGAAGACACAGCACAGGCCTCACTGTTACAAGTAAGTGTGTGTGCAAAGGTCTGCATGGTGGCCACTGGGACAGGGAAAGGAGACAGGCAGTTCCCCAGTCTGCTCTGGTCTTTGTATGTATTGCATGAGATACACAAGGATACTGAAGACACTACTATATGAGGGGTTTCCATCACTACAACTAAATGTACTTATAATGGATACAAAGTTCCCATATAAAAGCCCCATTAAAGGTTATGAAGACAATCCTTACAACTCAATATTGGAAAAAGAACCTTTGCTTTGACAAGTATGGCGATGGCTCCTATAGACTCATGTGTTTGAATGCATGGCCCATGGGGAGTGGCACTATTAGGAGGTGTGGGCTTATTGGCGTAGGTGTGGCCTTGTTGGAAGAAGAGTGTTACTGTGGGGAGGCTTTGAGGTGTCCTATGCTCAAGCTTCACCCAGTGTGAGATCCAGTCCCCTTCTGCTGCCTGCAAATCAAGATGTAGAACTCTCAGCTCCTTCTCCAGCTGTTTCCCTCCTTGATGATAATGAACCTGTAAGCCAGCCTCAATTAAACGTTGTCCTTTATAAGAGTTGTCATGGTCATGATGTCTCTTAACTACAACAAGAAGCTTGGATTTCCTCTTCCTCAACCAGACATCAGTAACATATGCTCAATGTGGAGGGGAGGGAGGTGACAGTGGTAAAACCAGTGTCTAGTACAAATACAAGTGGGAGGAGATGGGCATGGGGCAGACTACAAAATCAAAGTCTGATACAATGTTCATTTAAACCATCATCCAGATGCCAACTTCACACCATAGAAAACACAAGTTTATTCCTTGGACAGCAGAAGCTCCAACTTGGGCCTTAAGTCTGTGCCTTCACACTTGGGAAGCTGCCTTCTAGGTCGTCAGCAAGAGCCTCATCAACCTCACGTACGACTTTAATGAAGTCGTCCACCTGTGAGCCACACAAAGAACCAATGTTTACAGCACAGGAAAAGGCGGTTTTTAAAGACACTGATGGTTACCTATGAAAATGTTCTCCTGACACTTCCAAATACCTCAATATAAAAACGAGTGTCAGCCAAGAGACTTCCCCCAGGTGACAACCTCAGCCAGCTCCTGTCACCCCCGGCTGTCACTGATTCCCGCTGCTTCCTTGTAGGGAGCTCACTGACATTGTATTATAACCCCCCTTGCTGTCAAATCCCCTCATGCCATCTCTCCCACATGGCATTAAGTCCTGGAAGGTATACTGTCATTTTTGACAATGGAATCAACCCCCTGTAAATTCATCATACTCACTACAGGGCTGTAGAGGGGCAGGAGGCTCCGAAAGGCACAGGAACATTTCTGTTTACTTAACTGGCCCTCCTTCAGTCCCTGAGCCACGGTTTCCTATGACAAGCAAAAAAAAAATTTAGTATCAGAAAAGGAAAATGTCTAACGCTGTATCTGCAAACATAAACATCAGTATACACAATCACAGCTGGTCTCATCAGCATTTTGAACGCCCTCTGTTCCTTCTGTGACCTCAACACAGCTAATCTCAGTGATGGGGACATGCTCACCCTGCTGCCTGGGCCAAGAGCTGAGGCACAGCTAAGACCTGTGCTGCTCTTCTGCTGACTCCTCCCCACACACTGTTGGAGTCTCTGTGAAGCCTTACCTCACCCCAGGCCTCCCTCCCTCACCAACCTTCTGGCCGGCTGGCCCCAGATCTCATCTCTATTCCTTCATGCCTGCTGCTTTTGGAAGAATCTTTCCAAACTGATCCTATCACTTGCTTTAAAAAGAAAAAAATTTCAGTAGCACTTCGGTTTTCTCAAGATTAAATTCAAATTCCCTGAAGGTGGTATCTAAGAAGTTTCAGAACGTGTCCTTGGGTATTTTTATCAATTCACTTTCTTGCTATCTTCCCATAACTTAAAAGACAAAGAAACATGTTTGTCTTTTCCTCCCAAAACTTAAAACAATGACAAACAATTTTTTAAAAAGTATCCGAAAGCAATATAAAAAAGCTGTTGTAGTGGTCTGAATAAGAATGGCCCCCACAGGCCCACAAACTTGAATGCTTAGTCACCAGGGAGTGGCACTATTTGAAAGGATTAGGACGAAGAGGTGTGGCCTTAGAGTGGGTGTGGCCTTGTTAGAGGAAGGGTGTCACTGTGGGGAGGCTTAGAGGTCTCAGAAGCCCGCCAGGCTCAGTGTCTCACTCTCTCCGCCTGTAGATCAGGATACAGAACCCTCTGCCATTTCTCCAGTTCCACTCCCGCCTGCTGCCAGCTCCTTCTGGACTAATAAGCCTCTGAAACTGTAAGCCAGCCCCCAATTAAATGCTTTCTTTTATAAGAGTTGATTTGGTCATGGTGTCTCCTCACATCAATACAGGAGTGACTAAGACATAAGTATTACCCAGGAATAATAAACAGTCAAAGTGAATGAATACATCAGGCTAGAGTGTAGCTCAGCGGTGCAGCACCTGGTAAGCATCCAAAAGGCCTGAGTTTGACTCTAAGCACCACAAAACCACAAAAATTTAAATTTATTTATGTATGTGTGTGTGTGTGTGTGTATATATATATATATATATATATATATATATATGCATGAGACAGGATTTTTCTGTGTAGCCCTGGAACTCACTCTGTAGACCAGGCCGGCCTCAAACTCAGAAATCCACCTGCCTCTTACTCCCAAGTGCTGGGATTAAAGGCATGCACCACCACTGCCCAGCTATGTATATTTTTTTTAATGTAGGAGTGCTGTCTGTATGTACGCCTACATGCCAGAAGAGGGCATCAGATCCCTTTATAGATGGTTATGAGCCACCATGTGGTTGTTGGGAATAGAACTCAGGACCTCTGGAAGAACAGTTAGTGCTCTTAACTGCTAAGCCACCTCACTAGCTCCCCAAAACACAAAATTTTAAAAAATTAGATCTTTATAAAGAAAAAACACAAATCATATACAAATATATGGAAAGATAATCCAGGTCACTAATAACAAAAAATATAAATCAAAATAGGGCACAAAATTTCACCGGATGAATTTAACACAAAATTATAATATTCATAATAAGAGCCAAATAAAATCAACATTTTCACATATCAGAAATTATTCATATAGATTTTAGTAATGTAGTCTGTCCATATGCCTTTTATTGCACATGTGTGAACATGTGCAAAAACCGTATCAGTTATTTTTAAACTACAGATAATAACATAAAAATTTCCCAAACTGAGTAAAATAATCATACTACTTTTATATATTAAAAATAATGGTGGAAAGAAAGAATATACTGTTGCAAACTGGCCTCTGACTTCCACACATGTGCAACCCACCACACTTAAAACAAAAAAATAAAAATGGGCTGAGGTTGCAGCTCAGAGGGAGACTCAGGTCCCAATCCCAGAATCACACAAGACAGGAGAGGAGAAGGGAGGAGGAAAAATTTTTTAATGCCATAAAAAAAAAAAAAAAACAGTGGAACTGAGGATGCAACAAGCAGCCCAGCGTTTGCCTGGCCATCTCTCCTAGGGTACGGGCATTTGGTTCTACCCCAGGACAGCCACTCCTTCCCTAAAGGTTTCAAGTTCAGGACATCAAGTAATCTACACCTTTATTTTGCTGAAGAAGCCACCAATACTTCCTCCTACCTTTGTTAACACCTGAAAAAGATTAGAAAGGAATTCACACGAAATGTCCTTCAAGATCTTCATATGGAAGTCATCTTGGGTGGAACCACAGATCGCAGGCTCTTCTATATCAGACTCTGAGGGGTTCTCTGGTTTCTTCTGACAATGTTCCATATTTTGTAACACCCGAATTAAGCTGTCAATTAGAGGAAGATCCCCTGCATGGAATCAAGGGGATGAAATCAGCCAGCTACGTATTCACTCGTTTGTCCATCCATCCATCCATCCATCCATCCACCCATCCACCCATCCATACTGAACTAGTGCTACATATCCTTTAGGGTCTGTAGGTAGAGTGGTTTCTGCTTCCAGTTCCTGCTCTGACTTCCACCAATGATGGCCTGTAACCTGTAAGCTCAAATAAACTGTTTCCCCACATCCAAGGTGCTTTTGCTCAGTCCTATATTACAGCAGCATGGAAAACTAGAATAATCCCCAAGTCCACAGAGCTCCTCTGCAAGGCCTGAAGCCTGTAAAGAGAGCGGTAACTGTAACAGTGAGCTAACAAGTATGTCCATGTGCTGCCCAAACACAGAAACTAGATAAAGTTGTGGACAGAGGTCCCCGCAGTAGGAACACCATGTCCTGTGACATCAAGAAGAGATGTTGCAGGTCTCACACAGAAAAATTGTGCTACCAGAAAGATCACAGGCATGCATGTGCACACGCACGCGCACACACACACATGCACACACACACCAGCACAGCAGCACTCATTGGCCAAACTGCACAGCAGAGAGAAGATAACCACATCTGCAGTAGGAGATAAGGACTCCCCAGCTTTTCACATCAGAGCAAGTCTAGGAAATCCGAGGTTTAGGAGATGAACAACTGAAGAACTGATACTCAGGCCCCTCCCCAGCTCCTGACTGAAACTGCCCCTCACTACCCCCACCAGGACACCAATAGGCAGCATGTTTAAAGCCAGTTGTCCCTTACACACGCACGCACGCACGCACGCACGCACGCACGCACGCACGCACGCACGCACAGAAACCATCACTCTTCCTCTCCCTAAAGTGAACAGTCTGGTAGTACCCTCCCTCATTGCTACTGTTCTGCCTTGATCAGAGCTCCAGCCTTGCTTGTCCTTCTGCCACACAGCCTGCCACCCTTCTCCCTCGTTACCCACGGCTCCCTATGTTTATCAGCCCATGGCCTTCTACAACCAGCCATACCTAACCTGTGCTTCGAGCCTTCCATGGCTCCCTGCCTGACCCGCGGCAGAGTCTGGCCCTCTGCACTCTACTTCCTGGCAGCTGCACTACTTTTCTTCCCTTCACTCATAAGGCACCCTAGCGGTTCGGAGCTTCACTGCTCCTCCTCCAACACACAGTGTGCAGTGCTTTTACACGTGCTAGTCTCCGTGTGCAGTGACTCCACCCAAGCTTTCCCATGATGACCTCCACCAGCTCCCCCAGGCTGTTCAGTTCACTTGTCAGCGAGGTAACTGGTTTCAGACCCTCAAACAGGGGACTGAGGTGCACACCTTGCACCAAAGCAGACCAGGCCTCCAGCTCCTCCCATTATCCCTCAGTCCCTACCTGGCACTCTGCCCACAACCTTGAACTTTCCAGCCCAGGGGCTAGGCTGCCCTTCCCCTGGAGGCTCCACTCGATATAAGCCAGACATTTTGGTCCCCCTCTCTGTCTCTTTTCTCCTTCCCTTCTCTCTCTACATGCCCACCCTTTCTCTCTTTCTCTTCCCCCTCCCACCACCTCTCTTCCCCCATGGTGACTTCTTTGGGGCCAGTGAACTCGTCAGAGAGCAGCTTCCCAATACACCAACATGTAATATACTCTAATCTGGCTTTTCACTGCATTTCACTGGCAGAGAAATAACTTACCAGTAACCTCTCCTTAAATATAGAAACAGTGCTTACTTATTAAAAAATAACTTAAAACAGCAAGATTTCAAAACATCCTTTAATGGAAAAAAACAATCACCTTATGCCCAGTAACACTAAGTGGTGAAGTTCTTGACCTATAGAGTCAAAAGAGAAGGAGGGCTTTCCGCCAGGTATTTGAAACACCAGACACTAGGCAACCCACTTAGATAAGAAAAAAGAAATCAGACTCAGAAAAATGACAAAGTACATGTAACTTAATATCAGATAAAGTTCAAGATTATTATCGGACCTATTACTAAAAACAATAAGACAAAGGCTGGAGAGATGGCTCAGTGGTTAAGAACACTGACTGCTCTTCCAGAGGAACCTGGTTAGAACCCCAGCTCCCCCATGATGGCTCATAAGCCTTTCCCAGAAGATCCAACACTTTCTTCTGCCTTCCACAGACACACATGCACGCGCACACACACACACACACACACACACACACACACACACACACAGTCAATAAGACAGTGAGAAGTGGATCCAGCTCAGTGACAGGATGTCCACCTACATCTGGGTACAGCAACTACAGGCAAGTCAGTAAAAGTGCTGGAATCAAAATTAACATACAAATCAACAGCCTTCATAAAGCCCAACAAGAGGCAGTAGAAGAAAGTATGTGACAGAGAATCCAAAGAGAAAATGTCTAGGAATAAACAGAATACATAAGCTGAGAAGCACGAAACCGCTCCTGAGGTGGGCAGACCTGCACAGTGCACCCTCGACACGGCGCATGCTCACCACAGCCCCAATGGAAGCGTCAGCAGGCACTGGGGCTGTGAACTCTTCAACCTGACTCAGCACTAAACAAGTCAAAGCGGTGAAACACTTGGGAGACATCAGACTGAAGACACACTGTCCTCACTAGGTGCTGCTGATCTGTGAACACAGCAGTGGAATTAGTAAAATACAGAGGACTTCAGGAAGCATTCATGATAAAGCAGGGTGGTACCTCCTGATGGAGCCACGCTGTTTGGTGCTGCTTTCTTTTTGGTGCTGGGGACTGAACGAGGAACGTATTCATACTAAGCAAGCACCCAGATAGAGCTGCACCCCGAGTCTCTCCTCAGTGCCTTTATAAACATTATGAGATGTTTTGTATCTAATATTTTATGTGACTAGGGTACTGAATAAAGGTATTTTCTTTTTAAATGGAGAAAAAGTGAAAGAGAAACCCAGTGATGAGCACACACCGGCCTGGCACTTATGATCTGGTGGGTGCCAATCTAATGAGGTGATTAGACACTACACTTGCCTTCTTCTAGCTTCAGGTGCTCCTGTTCGGCCCGTGAGGCACTGATGGCAGACAGCACTGAGAAGACAGAGGCTAGCACTGTCTTCTGTTCCTGCAGTATGATGGGCGGGTCATCAGGCCGGCAGAATTCATGGCACACCAGGTCAAAAAGTAAACTCCACGTGTCTTTCCCAGTATCAGGACACTGCACTTAAGAAATATTTTTAAACAGTAGTAATTTAAAGCCAGTGAACACTTAAGTGAGCGACTCCAGTGGGCTCCAAGAAGCCACCTTACCGATCGCGTGGACTCCATCGTCCACCGTGGTGAGCAGCTGTAAGATGTGCATGTAGACATCCAGCCCTTCCAGGTTTTCAGAACTGAGCAGACAGAAACAGCAAAAGCACTCGTGAGTAAATGTGTGAGTGTGTACGTATGAGTGTATGTGTGGAAACAAGTGTGTGAATGTATATGGGAAGTGCATGAATGAGTGCATGAATGTATGAGTGCATGAATGTACATATGTGTGATACTGACATTTCCATGGTACTGATGCTGCAGCCTCCATGGTACTGATGCTGCAGCCTCCATGGTACTGATGCTACAGCCTCCATGGTACTGATGCTGCAGCCTCTACAGTACTGATGCTGCAGCCTCCATGGTACTGATGCTGCAGCCTCCATGGTACTGATGCTGCAGCCTTCACACATCATCCCAGCTCCCTCGCTGAGAACACTGGAACCATACAAATCTAATTCTTTTTGCTCCATACTTTGTATTATTAGAACTCAAAATGCTGCTTCTTCAACCAGACGGCTAAGTGAAGAGAGTGAGCAAGCACTGGTGCAGCTGTGTTGACGAAAATACCTGTCATTTGGGGCACTTAATGCCAGGGGCCAGGAAGACAGATGGTGTTAAGATACTACATCTACCTTCACAAAGTATACGGGTCTGGGAGGAAAGAAGCTAATTAAAAGGGTAGTTACTTAAAAAATGAAATGAATTTAACACTAGAGGGCCCAGGCACTAAAAGACCACATAAAAATTTAGTCAGGGAAGAGATCTTAAGAGAAATGGTGTTTCCACAGGAATCTGAAGAGTGGGTGTTTGAGGCATGGGCGAGAGGCACCCTGAGCAAAGGCTTGGAGGCAAAAGGGCCTGGTCCATCTGAAGAATGGAACTTTACTTGGCTGAAGCAAGACCACAGATGGACAGACTTTAGGGGCTTCTATGAAAAGCTTGTGTGCCAGCCTTGCAAATCTGGATCATTTCCTAAGGCGACTGAAGAGCCCACTGCATGAAATAAGACAGGTGTGCACTCCGCAAAAGCAGCTGTAAGGCCGAGTCTTGGAAGAGGCAAGCCAGGCAGTTCAGAAGGTAGGAGTGTGGCACTCGCCTAAGCCAGTGAGAACGAGAACGAGCCTGGGAGCCAGAAGCATGGCTCAGAAGCTGACTGAGGAGAGCAGACAGGGAAGAGTAAGTAAGGACTTCCCAGTTCTCTCCCATTCCACAAACAAGATGACAGCAGCACAATTCACACAGTAGGAATACTGAAGAAACAGGTGTGTGTGTGTGTGTGTGTGTGTGTGTGTGTTTTAAACTTCATTTGATAAGAGATATAAAATTAACAGCTTTTAATATACTCTAGTAAGTTCTGAAACTATACTAACAACTAAGCAGATAATTCAAGTGTTAATAATGTAGCAATTTAATAAATTGTTTAAACAAACCCCAAACTCCTGCCTCTCATGACAAGACACTGAAGCCCCCGAGTCACCCACCTATGCAGACAGGTGTACAGATGCAAAGAGGAAGCAGGGAGAAAACAAGTGTGCTCAATGGGGCTGTTTCATGTGTGACATAAAATAAAACAAGAAAACTTTTCTCCTTGAATATTTAAAATACATAAAATTGCTGTTGGTAGCCACAGCAAGCTAAACACTGCAGCAGAATTTTAACAGCGCCACTGTATCTGGCACGAATCCCCATGGGATGGCACCTAGGTTTTGAAGCAGCCCTTTGTAATTAGTCAGTGACTGTTGTCTTAGGTTTGTGGAGTTGCTCTTCTGAAGGATTTCTCTAAATCCATCCCACAGTGTCTCTCTCTCTGGTTGACTCCAGTAACTAAGAACACTGACAACACACCTATGAGCAAGCCACACCGGATCAAATGCTTTCAACACAGGATTCTTGCAGAGAAATCATTCTGCCACCACAAACCCATGAGAGAACCTGCATACTGAATGAAACTAAGTCTCTTCCATCTAAGGGTGTTTTTAACAACTGGGTTTTCCTACAACATTCTGTACAAGAGTTCACCTACCGCACTTGTTTGGCAGCTTCCAGTATACAGGGTACAATGGAAAACACTGGCTGCTCTTCAGAGTCCTCCTGGGGTTGGTCCGGAAGCCGGGCAGCCCCTTTTCTAATCCACTCCAGCATGAGTTTTTCATCTAAGTCGAAGAGTTTGTCCACAACCTCCCCGGCCTTCACCAGCAAGTCAACTGCAGAAGAGACAGGTGTTCAAGTGAGAACCCAAGAAGTACAACTCCTCATGCTGCTCCCAGAGGCAAATCTGCAGAGGTTTTACTTCCTCCCTGGGTATCTCCAGGAGCCTATTTAAACCTCCTGCAATGCAAAGTGGCTTCCTGGGGCTGGAGAGATGGCTCAGCCATTAAGAGCACCAGCTGCTCCTCCAGCACACCCAGGTTTGATTCCCAGCACCCACACAGCAAGCAGCTCACAACTGTCAATAATTCCAGTCCCAGGGGATCTGACACCCTCTTCTGGCCTCTGTGGGCAGCAGACACACAACAGCATGCAAGAGATACACAGATGCACATGCAGGCAAACAATTTTTTTTAAAAAAAAAAAAATTTTTAAAACGAAAACATAAACTGACATACAAGATTTAAAAAGTGAGACGTCTTCTTCAGTAGTTTCCTAATGGCGTGCTCTACTCTTCCTCCCTAGGCTACATGGTGACTTACCATTTGTTGAACTCGACATAATGAAGCAAACGTTAGCGTAAAAAGTTGGGTGTTCCCGGATCCTTCTAACCCAGACGCTGGCCACTTCTGTCTGGGAAAGGCAAGTAAGCAACAACCTATGTGACAAACGTGAGCTCAGTATCGACATGGAAAATAGTTAAGGCCACAAGAGTGGAGACTTCCCCCTGCCTCCCCAGGTCCTACCATGAGAAACACTTACCTGCAGGTTTCCAGCAGGGTGGGTGGGTCTGAGTCACACAAGCACTGCAGCAGCACCTGCCTGCAGAGACACAGAGAGCTCGGGCTTCACACATCGCACAGCAAATACCACTTTTCATTTCATTTAAACATTTTTAAAATTGTAAGACAAAGTCTAAGTGCAGAAAACCCCATCGAGATGCAGAGGAATCTTGAGCTTCGTCTCAAGCAGTGGGTCTCAAGCTTCCTAATGCTGCGACCCTTTGGGACAGTTCTTCATGTTGTGGTGACCCCATCCCCAACCATACAATTATTTTGCTGTTACTTCATAGATGTTTTTACTACTTCATAACTGTACTCGTTACTGTTATGAATCATAATGTAAATATCTGATATGTGACCCCAAAGGGGTCATGACCCACAGGTTGAGAACTCTCTTTTAGAGCAAGCACTCATGTTTCTAAGGAATGACACAGAGCTGCCCATCTGCAGCCCCCATTCCGTTCTGTTCCAAATCGCAGTCCCCTCTCTCCCAGGTGACCCCGACTTCTCAGCAGTCACCTCCTCGCTCTCTACAGTTCTGCTAATACAGCTCTCATTTTCCATCTAATTTGATGTAAAAGAACTTTATGATTTTTCCTTAAAATATCTTTCAGTTATCTATGCAATCTTTTTATCTGTTTTCAATAGACAAAAATCACCGTTCACTCACTCTTCAATTCATCATGGTGTATCTTGTGTGTGAACATAACAAAAACAATTCAGAAGGCCCAGGTACTTGACAACAGGGATAAACCCTATGACCAGAACTGTCTAGGGCAATAGCTTTAACTTACACTGGACACAGACTTCATTAAGAACCTCAGTAACAGCCATGAACCATCAACATGAAAGTAAATATACCCATTAAATTTATCATGTGAGTGCATAGTGATCTCAGGTCTGTGGTAACCACCTGAGCGAGACTCCACTACTAAAAAGCCCTCTGCCCAAACCTTCCTGGCTTGTAGAGGAGAAATAGCCTCCAGGCTTAAACCTTTTAATTCCAGAGGTGACCCTTTATCTTCTGGTCTATGAGCAAGGCCCACCCACCGATCTGAGTCAAAGTTCACAGAGCAACACTTCAGCTATTGAGTTTCCCAGACTAGTTCTGAGTCCTTGGATTCTCTATGCTTACACTGTTCTGGATTCTGGCCAGCTGCCCCCAGCTCAGCTGCTTCCAGTTCCACATCAGGCTCTCCATACTCCTCGGCTAGCCCACTTGCTCTGGTGACTCATGCCTTTTCCCATGGATGCACAGGCTCTGCCCTGAGTCATGTTCACAGCTCACAGAAGCCTCAGCCTCATCGACACCAGGTGCTCCTGAGACAGGAGCACTCCACACTTCCACCTCTCCTAGAGACCAGGATTCCCTTGGGGTAGAAACTTAGAACCCATCCTGAGAAATACAGCAATTGGATAGTAGGACTTACCCACAATCCTCGGACTTGCCGATGGACACACATATCTCCCGGAAACAAGCCATATTCCCTAAAATTCCCACACAGATTTCCTGTCAAATCAAATTTCACAGGTTACAATGGCTGTAAGGTAAAAACCACAAAGAATAACAACTTGAACAAAACCTTTTACTGCACCAAGTTTGAGGGGAAGGAGTGGGGAGGCAGAATATGAAAGTGTACTGCCAGCATCCTCACTAAGTTGAGAAGGAACAAAAGGCACACAGGAAGTCGGAAGGCAGAAGTTACAGATGAGGAAATGTTATGGCAGAAAGGATTTTTACACAGATGATTAATGGAGAGAACAGCAGGAAACCCAAGCAAATGTAAGAGAGGAAAAGGAGCAGGGCTAGGAGCATCTGACCGTCATGCTCAAGAGTTTAGACTTAATACGGGATAGTGTCTGGAGCCATGAAGGTTCTCAAGGAGGGAACAACACTGAACCATGTTGTCGTGTATCATTTCACACAGTAAGTACACAATGGGGACTGTACTGTCCTCACTTTTCAAATGAGGAAACTAGAGCCCAGGAAAGTCAAGCAACCTGCCCAAGATCTCCAACTGGGAAGCTGCAGTGATCCAGAGCCTGGATGTTAGGTACCAGGATGCTCAGCCCAAGAAGACAGAACTACTACCAATGAGGTGGGGGTGACACACATGGAAAAGCATGGAGACAAAGACTCAAAAGTTTGACCAATAGTCCGTTGGAAGGTGAAGAGAGAACGTAAGGCTTGGCTCCTAGGTTTGAAATTACCTCGATTTCCCACAGGTATTGGTCACACCTATAGAAAAAAGGAAAGCGAAAGCGCATTCACACAGTACATACAGGGTTTCCACACTTGCTGGGATACAACTTAGGGAGTTTGTCAACACTTTTCAAGTCCCATCAACTCCACTCAATCAGAATCTCCAGAGTAAAGCCTCTGGAGCTAGTGTTTACCATGGGCACACTGCTCAGTGTGATAATCACTGAATTAGAACGGAAAACATGGGATTAGAAAATCAGCATGCAGGTCAAAAATTCCTGAACAAAGCTGGATGTTGCCCCAGTTACCAAAAGGCAGTCAGGGCTTTGCAGCATCACTGGAAGAGAGCTATAACCTCTGAGAGTGAGAATCACAGAGCTAAGCTGGCTGTGGCGGCACGTGCTGTAACCCAGCTTTGAAGGCTGAGATAACCCTGTATAGTAACAGCACAGGGTCTCACTACAGAAATGACTGTAAAGCAGGGTCTGCACTTGGACAGAGTCCACTCAGAGACAGGAAGAAACAGGAAGGGGGAAAAGCTGACGAAAGTGTGAGAGGGACTAAAGAGAGTTCTAGTAAAACGCAGGTGGATCAAACTTTGGGAAAAGGTCAAGAGTGTTGGGGCAGAAAACACACATTCTCTTATCAACAGAGAGAATGAGTGAGCTTTCTGCCAAAGCACAACCTCCTGACTGGGCTCCTCATGAGAATCCCCAGCAGATGTCAAACACTGCCTGGAATTCCACGTGGAGATGTGGCCTGACTTTTGAAGGTCCTGTAGGACAAAGCTTTTGAAAAGAGTATGACCCTGGTCTAAAGCACTGATAGCACAGGGGACACAGGGGGACACCCTGGATCCTGCCTCGACTAGCTGGATCAAACACTCCTGAGATGGGCTCAGTACCATGATCTGGGATGTGCAAATGTAAGCCTGGTGGTCTAGTGATTCCACCATCCAGACAGGCTGAGAACCTGCTTTAGCAGACTTGTGATGAGGACACATTTACAACAGCGTGGCTGATTCCTGAACTGATGACGACTTAACACATTTCAAATAGTAAAATCCAGGAGACAACCCCACAAAATTGCCAACACTTCAAGTCAATGTAAGGATCCAATTATGGGCAGAGCATTCCACTAAATAAAACTCTTATTCAAACTGCTGGAGAGACGGCTCAGTGGTTAAGAGCACTGGCTGCTCTTCCAGAGGTCCAGAGCTCAATTCTCAGCACTCACTTGGTAGTTCACACCATCTATAATGAGATCTGGTGCCCTCTTCTGGTGTGCAGACATACGTGTAGACAAAGCACCCCTATACATAAATGTATAAATCTTCTTTAAAAAAAAAATCTTCGGGCGGAGGTGGCGCACGCCTTTAATCCCAGCACTTGGGAGGCAGAGGCAGGTGGATTTCTGAGTTCGAGGCCAGCGTGGTCTACAGAGTGAGTTCCAGGACAGCCCAGGATACACAGAGAAACCCTGTCTCAAAAAACCAAAAAAAAAAAATCTTACTTCAACTTATTCCCTATGGAATTTTACACTTTATCTCAAAGAAAAAGAAGCAACAATAGAGTTATCCTGGAGTTGGGCTTAGGTTAAAACCCCAGCTTGTCTTTAACAAGCTGTGAGACTTGGACAGTCTCCAAGACTCTTTCATCTATGAAGTGTGTCTCACAGGAGCAATACACATTGGGAATCATGCATCGTGCACACCGCACAGAGATGTAGACGACAGGAAATCTCGGAACACTAGACTGCTCACATAGCTCCACCTGTTGTTCCTGGGAGCTTGCTCTCAGCAATAACCACAAAGAACTTATTTGGGAAGGCAGAAAAGTGCCACATTGAGTTATTGACGCAGACAGAAAAGAGAAGGAAAGGGAAGGACAGCACCGGCACCATGCTGGTGAGAGAGGATGCAGCAACCTTGGACCAGGAAGAGCATGCAGAAAGTTCTCACAATCAGACAGTGGAAGTCCTGAGTGACAGCAACCTTAGGATGTTTTTAGACAGTGGAGAGCTTGTGAATGAAAGGAACAACAAACTGAGACATAAATAACAGGTCAGTGCTCACACTGTCCCTTAGCAGCCTAGCACGCTGTGCGTGGCGCTGCCTGTCATTTTTCCACGGCTGTTAAATCAAAGCATTGATTGCCCTCATCTAGTCCAAATCTAAATTCCACAGATCTAGCCATTGCAAGGAGTGCGGTACCTAAGATTGTTCAGTAAGTACTGGTACACTGATTTACTGGCTCATAGCTAGTAAGCAAAGCAAGAGAAAAGAATTCTATATACTTACTCTTAATCGGGGACACCTGGATTTGGCTAGCACTCCCATGAATATGTCAGGAGCTTTAAATTCTTGGAGAAATAAAGCCACATCCTACAAAGAAAAATGATTACCAAACTTGATGCTGAATCCTGTTCTTCAAGCCACACAGTTAGACAATCCTAAAAGTCTAATTTCATGCTGACTTCCTTTCCTCCAAAACGGAAAAATCTAAGGTCAGGAACTGTACAAAAAAAGCCAAAAGTAACATAGGAGCCTTTGTGGTACCCGGTCCTAGGACAGTGGAATAATCCCATAAACCAAGTGAAACCTGACTTTGATGCACCAGACAATGGTCTCCTTTTATTCTGTACTGAATAGATCAGCCTAAATGGTTTTTTTCTCTGTCCACCTAGAATTCTCACTGACTTATTCAAATACATTCACTCACTGTTAGAAGCTGGGGGAGAGAAAGGAGTATAAGCGTGGGGAAAGAGTCAACTCCTAAGTCTTACCCTGTAAGAACTTAAAACTTGGGCTGGAGAGATGGCTCAGTGGATAAAAGTACTGTCTGCTCTTCCAGAGGTCATGAGTTCAATTCCCAGCAACTACATAGTGGCTCACAACCATCTGTAATGGGACATGATGCCCTCTTTGAACATTCAGGGGTACATGAAGATAGAGTATTCATATATAATATTTTTTAAAAAAAGAACTTAAGCCGTGAGGTGGTGGCGCACGCCTTTAATCCCAGCACTTGGGAGGCAGAGGCAGGCAGATTTCTGAGTTCGAGGCCAGCCTGGTCTACAGAGTGAGTTCCAGGACAGCCAAGGCTATACAGAGAAATCCTGTCTTGAAAAATTGAAAAACAAAAACAACAACAAAAAAAAAAACTTAAACTTACAACTTAAAACTGAGATACATACAATATCTAGAGTTAGATTTCCAAAATCCTTAATAGAAGAGGGGGAGGGGGGATTGGTTTTGGTTTTGGTTTTTTAAGATAGAGTTTCTCTGTATAGTCCTGGCTGTCCTGGAACTCACTCTGTAGACTAGGCTGGCCTTGAACTCAGAAATCCACTTGCCTCTGCCTCCAGAGTGCTGGGATTAAAGAGGCAACAAAACAAAATATCTGACTGCAATGGAACTACAACAGCCTGGTACTTCTTCCAAACAGATTTTTGTTCCACCCATATCACCTAAAGGGGCACACCAAACAGGTGACACAGGAGTGCATATGTACCCCAGAGAGATGAATCTCACCTAGCAATGTAAGGTACCAAATCTAAATCTATGTGTGTCAGTAGCTCCACGAAATTATCCTTCCTAGTGATGTCATAGCTGTCTTAGTTCACATCTATGTTAAATACACTATGATGTCCACAGGATGAAACTGTATATATGTTTAAAGACACAATTTTAACATTAATAGCTCCTGAGACTTTATACTCTGAACCACAAGCTGGAGAGACTGCAATCACTGAATAGGCCTCTCGGCAAACAGTGAAAAAATGAACCTTTTTAATTATTTATTTATTTTATGTACATGAGTGTTCTATCTGCATGTATACCTCAAATTCCAGTATAGATGGCTATGGGCCACCATGTGGCTGCTGGGAATTGAACTCAGGATCTCTGGAAGGGCAGACAATCCTAACCACTGAGCCATCTCTCCAGCCTCTTCACCACTCCTCACGCTGAGTCTGCTTAGAATTTCACTTCTATCTGCATACCTCATCCATGGACATATCCCAGACTCTGCAAATTTCATTCTCCATTTCTTCAGCAAGCTCCACCTGTTCTTCCTCATCATCTGAGCCAGATGTGACACTCTCAGGTGTGACAATCTTCAGAAACATAAAGAAAAAAGGATCAGTTAAAATACTCATAGTTCTTCAGGTAAAATATTATCACTTAGAAGTCTTAGCATCTCAAAAGTACCTCCTCTGACAAAAGTCTCTAAAAACTAATGCCTTGTGACCAAGCCAGCAGGTTCTCCAGGGCAGGATCGAGGATTAAAAAGAAAAAGACAATTAGACAACACTGCAGCATGGCCCCAGCCAGTTCTGAGGCTGAGGCAGGTTTATTTTTTCCCAATCTGCTTTTACATGCAAGTATTTAGGTCAGTTCTAGGTTGAGGAACAAGGAAGACAATGAACACAAATAGTCAAGGAACAAGCAAGGCAATAAACAAAATTCTGTGATTACTCCCTCCCATGCCCGATGTTTCAAAGGGCTTATCAGAACAACCAAGCCTACTTCCCTGTCCTAGCCCAAAGTCATATTCATGCCTGAAGCCTACTTCTTTGTTCTAGCCTAAAATTAGATTCCTGCCTAAACTTACTACCATGTCATGGCCCAATGTCAAATTCCTGCCTGAAGCTCACTTCCTTGTCCTGGCCCAATGTCAGATTCCTGCCAAGTGGCCCCAAAAACTCTCCACAGCCTTGAATAGATCTACAAATTAAATACTCTTCAAGTAAATATTGTCTGTAGGCACTGTAGCAGAAAAAAACGAGAACAATAAAACCCTTTGGTTTCAAACGAATTAGGATTAATGTAGGAAAGACATGTAACCTGACAGTCACAATAGAAAAAGGCTGACTGAGCTGAACTGGTGAAAGAACTATAGTAGAAAAAATTAGGGACCAATGACCTATTCCTGGGAGAAGACAGACAGTTCTCTTAAAAGAAGAAAACTAAATCTTATGGGACGGATGGGACTCTGTCCTGGGGAAATGAGGTGCGAATTCGGAGGTGACTACAAGTGTTCAGAAAACATAGCACATGTTCGGAGATGGCCAACAGTCTATGACTGATGGAATACAATGTATGGTAATACGGCTGAAGAGGGTACAACCAGCCTTAGATTCTCCAGTTAGGAAACAGAAAATTCCCTCCTATGAGTAACAAGAACAATCTTTAAAAATATTAAAAAAGGAAGATTGTTTTGGCAACGTAGAAAATGGCTCAGAGAAAACAGAAATTGGGGGAACGGACAGCAAAAGGCAGAAAACTCACATCTATTGACAGCCTCATTATACTCCCAAGCTATACAAAATCTGGTCTACGATAATACTGGTTATCTTGTTTTATAGAAACTATGAAAAAAAATCGAAGATCTGGGTTAAGGAGTCATGCTTCCAGCATGGGATAAACTCGCGTCTTGGAGATCAGTGCTGTCTGACTCCAAACTATGCATTGCACTAGAACAAGAGCCGACAAAACACGAATGGTAGGGTCTCGACTTCCTAAGTGACAATGGGGTTAGGAAGTAAAAGCCGAGTAAAGTACGTGCGCGGTGTAGTTCTGGCAAGTTAGTAAATCGGCACCCGCGAGCCTCCAGCATCCCATCCACTCCCTTGATTCGGAGGGCGCCTACGCGAGTCTCCGCACCTGGATGAGCCCGCTGAGGACGCCGAAGAGCCAGTGCTTGCTGTAGACCGTGCTCCCGATGCGGTCTCCCCCACCCAAGTCCTCTTCATCCTCCTGATCACAGTTAGGCGGCGGCGGAGACGGGTTACGGTCCATGGCAGCGCGCGCCAGCAGTGCCGGAAGCCGCGGAGGAGGCGAGACGACGCGCCAGAGAGCCCAACGTGCCCGGCGCAGCTCCCCACAGCGCCCCCTGCCGTCAGGCTCCCGCGTGATCCGGAAACCTGTAGGATCCGTGGAGTCTCCCTCAATGCGTCCACCCAGGACCAGGAGTGAGCACAGAACACACGCATCAGTATTACCTGTCGTTTGTCTGGAACGAAGACGCGGAAGGAAAGAGAAAAAATACTTAGCCAAGGAAGAGGAGGATGGAGGCGCTTGGATGTGGGACTTTAGTACAAGCTGAATCTGGATGAAGAACTGAATATATAAAACAAAACTTGTAAAAGTCCTAGATCTAGAAGAAACTTTAAAAGACCTTTCATGACCTCAGAGATAAATAAACAAAAGCCTGATGTGAGAAACTGCCACATTTCTCGTACTGGAGAGATGGCTCAGTGGTTAAGAGCACGGACACGCGCGCGCGCGCACACACACACACACACACAAACAAACACCCACACACACACACCAGGTGTATTTAACAGCAGCCATGTCCAGGTATGTCAGCCATTCATTAGTGCTGATTTATACCTTTTGTCAGTTTAAATTTTAGCACCCACTTGTGGGTTTTTATTCTTTCTTTGATTTGATTCTTTGAGTCAGGGTCAAGCTATGTAGTCCAGGCTAGCCTGCTATTAATCATCCTGTGCCTCCACTTCCAGCAGCTAGGACTATAGGCAGGTGCCGTGGTGCCAAGAAACTCTTGTTTGTTTAGGTTTTGTTTTTAATTCTTTTATCTGAGGTTCGTTCATACTAGTGCACTGAAGTGCATGCGTGCTCTGTGAATCTTCTTTTCTCTTAGAATCTCAAGTGCAGGAAATTGAATTAGCTGGGACTCTTGTTTATGATATGCTTCTCTAGTTACTCATAGGTAATCAACAGTCTTGTGTGATTTTAAACTAGAACCTTGAAGTCTTAGTTTAGTTGACCGTGATGACTGCAAACCGTGGGGCCACATAACGATTGGGATTTCCTCGCCCTTTCCTACTGCAGTTTGAACAGGCTCTGAAGGTTGGGGAAGACTTTGTGTTCTTTTCCTAGTTCTTCCTCATACAAATTTCCAGGATTTCTGACCCCTCCCAGGAAGAGAGGGGACAGGCAGAGGTGGAGAAGGGGAGAAAGAAAAGGTCATACCTAAGTTCTCTGGAACTAACAGGTATTTTAGCTGATCTCTCTCTTCCTCCCTCCCTCCCTTCCTCCTCCTCTCTGTCCCTGTCTCTCTCCTTTTCCTTCCCTCCCTCCCTCCCTCCCTTCTGTCTCTGTCTGCCTCTGTGTGTCTCTGTCTTGCTCCCTCCCTTTCATCCTCCCCCTGCCTCCTCCTTCCTCTCTCTGTCTCTCTCTGTGTCTCTGTCTGTCTCTTTTTCCCTCCCTCCCTCTCTCCCTCTCTCTCTCCTCTGTCTCCTGTCTCTGTCTCTCTGTCTCTTTCTCTCTCTCTGTGCGTGTGTGTGCGTGCGTGTGTGTGTGTGTGTGAAATGAGGTTCATTCTGAAGATCAGTTGGCATGACACATGGAGTACATCTGTTGGAGGAATGATTAACTGACCTAACTATATGCAAAAATGTGGGGGAGTGTGCACGCATGTGTGTTCTCCATCGTTTTGGTTTTTTTTTTTTCAAAGTTCTAGAAATTGAGCATAAGATGTCATAGGCACGGACTCAACTGCTGAGATACATTGCCAGCCTACGAAAGTGGCTTCAAACTGTCAATTTCAACACGATCCCTAGTTATATAGCAAATCATTAAGAAAGTTGGGCCTAGCTTCAAACTAACCAAGTGACTAGGATGTATGTGAACCAAGTTACCAAAACTATTTTTAAAAGGGGGTAATTAAAGGGAAGGATCCAATGAAATAAGGAAATAAAGACTTGAGAGCAGCAGTCACCTGGTGGCGCGTGTTCACCAAGGCAAAAAGAGGAGCTGTCAATCAAGTCATTCAGCTATTACCCAGTGATAGAGCAGGAAGCCAGATACATGCTGACAAAGACAAACTCTGATCCTCAAGAAGGCCTAGACAGGGTGCTATGGGGACATTTAGATGGTGGGTCTAATGCACTGCAGGTGACAGTCCATCCTAGTCTAGAACAGGAAGAGAGGAGAAATAAATAGCTTTTGAATATTTTTTATGCAATGGATACAAACTAGTTTGTAGCTCAGAGAAGGAGAGGGGGAGAGATTCAAGAGCCTCTGGGACCAGGCCCCTGAGGGAGGGAAGGGACCAGCAGGAGCCCAGCGTCTGAGGATGCAGCCAATGACAGTGGACAGAGCTGCCCCGGCAGAAAGAGGATGCCGGCCAGCATGGGCCAGGGAAGGTACGGTTTGGTAAAGAAACTGCATGGGCTATCTGAACCCCAATTTCCGAGACTTGAGGGTCTTTAAGGTTGTGTAAAGGGAGAATCCCCAGGCTACACCTTGACCCTGGAGCTGGTTGCCGCTGTAGTAAGTCCACCCTGGGTCAGTGTGCTTTTTGATAATTTCTTTCAGGTTGCAGGTAGGGGAGAGGCAAAGCTTAGCTAGGTAGGTAGGTAGTTAGTTTTGTTTTTTGAGACAAGGTTTCTCTGTGTAGCCCTGGCTGTCCGGGAACTCACTCTGTAGACCAAGCTGGCCTCAAACTCAGAAATCCACCTGCCTCTGCCTCCCTTGTGCTTGGATTAAAGGCGTGCACCACCACCGCCCAGCTTGGTGTTAAAGCCTTTCTACCCCAGGGAAAATGATTGCAGAATGTACCTTCTTTTTTTCTAAGATTATTTTTACAGAGTGGGAGTGGCTGGCCCTTTTGAAGGGTTGAGATTATCTGAGGCTTTCTCTGTGGGAAGTGTCAGACTTTAAAACAATCCCAGGATGGTTCTCGTTTTGCCATCAGTCTTTGTAAGTCATCTTTTACTAAGTAAGAACTTACTGATTCTCATGGGGAGAGCACAGGGGAATGGAAGCTGGGGCCTCACACATGCTAGGCGATCATGCTTATCTTTGGGACATCTCCCAGAATGCATTGGTTTTATCTAGTTTTTAACTTCACAACTGAAACCGTACACAGGGCTTTCTCGCTATCTCTTGTCATATTCCAATTCCCATCTCTTCATGTCTCTTTTTTAAAAAAGAAAAGTGATGTTTCTTGCTCATCCACACAGCCCACGATCCTCAGTGGGACTGCCCTGTGCTCTTCTAAAACCATAGTGACACACTGCATTTCACAAGTATTTATTCAGCACGTTGGGATGTTTAAGGATCCAGATTTTAGGGAATAACTCAACTCAGTAATTGCTTCTTTTCTTAGGGGTTGCATGCCTGGGAACAACATGAAGAGAAAACTCAGTATTTTTTAGGCAGGCCAGCAGGTCGGAAGTAGTTGGGGTCTTTGCCACTCCGGCCCCACTCGTTGGCAAACTGGTCAGCTTTTGAGTCCTCTGCTCCATGTCCTGTGAGCCTCTGAATATTCTCTCTGGCATTACTGTAATTAGGATGGATAAGAAGATTTTTAACCAAGCTGATGGCCAATAGTTCCACCCTCAGGCCTCCCCTCTTCTAGAGATGGCTGTATGAGATGCCCGGGAGGGAGAAGCTGGTATGATCCTAAGTAAACCCCTATCCTGCCCAGGCTGTCAGCCTCATGCTGGATGAGCAGCAGCAGGAGAGAGGGTGGGAGTCATCATCAGGCAATCACATCGCCACCAAACACTCCCAGTACTGTGCACAGAAAAGAGGAAAATCAAGAGGTAATGGATGCAGGGGGTATGCAGAAGAGAGCTCCTTCCCGGCTGTCCAAAGCACTCAATCTCTGTTCACCCAGACCTGTGTTACCTGATGACTTCAGCAGCCCAGGCTCCCCCAGGACCTCTTCGGGCAGCATTATAGTTCCCCCGAGCATGGAAGTATTTGTCTGAGTTTTTCCAGTTGGCCTCTTTCATGTCAGAGTAGGCTCGCCACATGTCTCTAGACCCTGGAGAGGGAAGAGAGTGATGAGGATGGTTGTGTTTAGGTAAAACAGAGGGCTAAAACGTCCATCCAGCTCATCTCAGCTTTTCCCAAAACCCACAGAAATGTTGCTAGCTTGAGATAAGTAGTTCTTACTGCCCCAGGTCTGTGCCAGAAGTACATCGGAGTCTTATTCTGATGGATTCCCATCTTAGTTCTGTGCTATTTGTTTCTGGCTGTGCAAGAACCATATGGAGGAGCGGGGATCTCTAGGGGAGTGTTTCATCACGTGACAACAGTCACACTATGCAACTCTCTCTGAAGTGGTCCAGGGAAACTTCCGTCTAAGATGTGAGAGGAGATCGCTTCCCTTCCTCTCCTCCCTCTTCTTCTGTTCCTTTCCTTTCTTTTGTGTTCTCTTTTCCTTTAGAGGCAGCCTATGTCTCTGTGTATCCCTGAATGGCCTGAAACTCACAATCCTGCCTCAGCCTCCCAAGTGGCTCCAGTTACCACTGCAGCCACGGTCCTTGCCTAGCACAAGCAATGGGAGAAACTGCTCTCCAGGCAGAGAGAGTGAGTGCAGCTCTGTTCTAAGTCCACCTGGATGTCCAGGATCTATTTCATCCGGAGCAGTTCTCAACACTCCCTCAGCAGGCAACAAAGGGGATGTCATAAGCTGGACGATCGAGACGCTGGATGGCAATTGACACACTGGGTTTAAAACCCCTACTTCCTCTCCAGGAACTGGGAAGAGTGTTATCCACCATAGTGCTTATGCAGAAAAACTGAGGAAAATGCACATGGAATGTTTGTGGAAGATGCTCATTTATTATTGCCCCCCCCCCCCGCTCCTCAGGAAGGTGTGGCAAACAGAAAAAGATCTAAACTAAGGACAGGAGAGTGAACTGCACACTGAAGGAATCAGATCCAGCTAATATTAAATGAAAAATATCAAAGGTAACGAGTTAGAGAGAAAGGGAAAGCCTAATATCAAGGTTCGTTTAACTTTTCAGTAGACTGAGCGTGGAGGCACACACCTT